AATTATCCATAGTACTCCACTAACCAGATTTGAAAGTGACTAATGCTTGGTCTACACTACAGAGTTAGGTCAACATTAGGTCAACCTAATTATGTGTGTCTACACTACAATGGTGCTTCTGCTTAAGTGAGTGGTCCATTATCGCAACATAGTAACTCCACCAGGAGGCACAGTGTTTATGTTGATGTAGTTAGAGCAATGCAGTTTCTGTGTACACAGTGTGTTACTTACATTGGTTTTTGTCTCCCACTGTGAGCCCTCCCCCCACACCAGTGCTGACAGCTGGGTGTTGGCTCCCAGCCTTCCCCCTGCCCAGCGCTGACATCCCAGAGTCCTGTTGCTGCCTCCTGGTGAGGGATTAAGTGGGAAGGAGAGCCTGGCCAGGGTCGGACTCTCCTTCCCTGTCAAATCCCTCACCAGGAGGTGGCAGGAGGACACTAGGCTGTCAACCCTGCAAGCAGGGCCCACAATGGTAGCCCCAGGACTGACCAAGTTGCCAGAGCTCAATTTCACAGCAGAGAGCCCACCAGCAGTGAAATTGACAGTCTTGTCAGTTTCACTGCTATTATTATTTCTCATTTTGTCTCCAGCTCAGGCTGTAAGCAGATAGCCAGAGCAAAATGTAAACTAACAGCAGCCGTGAAACTGACAAGAATGTTAATTTCATTGCTGGTAGGCTCCCTGCTGTGAAACCCCATCCTGGCTCACTGTGAGCCCAGCATCTGCCTGACAGCAGGGGGTGGGGGAGGCAGCTGTGAGCCCCCTGCATACAGCTGAAGCGGTCAGCCCCAGGGCTGCCAGGATCCAGTTGTCAGTGTCCCACAATGCCCCACTTCAGTCAGTGGAAGAGCACCACCCACAGAAGCAAGTATGGACATGAACCATTGCTTTAATTATTGCAGTGGCTGTATGCCGACTTAACTTACGTTGACTTAATTTTGTAGTGTAGACAAGATCTAAGGAATATGGTCATGCCGTTTGATCTCAAAGATCCAAGCATATCAGTATGCTGATATACACAATGGGATAAGACTCTTCCAAGAGTACTGGGCAAATTTATCTGAAGGGGAATTACTGTGATTAGACCACTTTTGTTGCTTTCTTGTTTGTTTTAAAGAATTAATTTAGTATTATGTCTGCTGAAAAACAGCTATCTTCTATTGATCAGATAGGGCAAATTAGAGAAAGTAGTAAGATCCATCAATCACAGTTCTAATTGTGCTTACAAAACATTAAAACTGAAAGTATTTAGAAACATTTAGCAAGTTAACTTTAAACAAAGTTAGGCAATCCCAGAGCTATCTTTGCCTGTGAAATCTGGGGTTATCAACATGGAGGCTTTAGGCAAAATATTTCCCTGAAATAAGGAAACTACAATTGAGATTTAAACAATCCACTTTTAAGAAGTCTAACTTTGTTAAGTAACTGAAACACTTGCTTGGTATTATCAAGTTTCTTTCCCCAATACCATTCTTCAGCTGTTCTCAAACTCTCCTACTTTGAAAACTACATCCTTCTATATGCAATAAATCTAACATGTATCATCATTTTACATGACCAGTTTAGAGCCATTACTGATATCCCGAAAGAGTGCACTTCCATTTGTTTGAAGACATACATATAAAAACAATTCTATATCAATCTCAGCAAAAAAGATTCACTATAAATTTATAATAGCTGTTTCAGCACAGGGATAGCATCAGAAAGAAAGCAAACTTCAGTTTTCTATATTAATCAAATAGATTAAAAAAAGTTTTGAAAATGTACATTTCAGATAGAGCTTACCTGTATCCGGACATAGTAACAATCCTAATAGATTATATCTCACACCACTCAGAATAGTATTTTCATTAAAACAGCATCATACCAGAAACAGATGCTGAACATGATCTTTTACGTTAAAGAAATACCTTTAACTTTAAAACTAAAAGCACACTTAACTTCCTCAATAGTTGCAAACTGAACATGAGTACTTAATAAAAAAGTTTATAGAAAAAACTCTCCATTTGTGTATTTTATGGATCTGACACCACTTTGTGTACTGTCATTTTCAGATTTCTTTGTAGAGTTAGTTCCCCCCACTTACATCTCTTTTTCCACAGAGCAAAAGGTAAAGACAGTTAAAAAAATGTATTTGTAAGACCACAAAAAGTGACAGGAGATTTGCAGTTAGTAGTGTATACCATCATGACTATATTGCGAGCGGATAGCGCCCCATTAAATCAGTTTATATGGACAGCTTGGTAAAAAAGACTGAGATTAGACACCACAATTCAGTAATCAAGGCCCAACTCCAACACCTAGGATCAAATACTGCAACGCTCACTATAGGTGCACTCTCAGACTTCAGTGAATGCTACAAGGACAAAGAGATGCACAATAGCAGAGCCCAAAGAAGGACTGGGGGACCAGTTATTTTTTTTAAATGTGATTATAAATATTCCTGTTTAAAGACAAAAGAAAAGGTGAGAGAAAGAACTCTCACAAATGGCAAAGGCTAACAGTATTTCAAGTGTAGCAAATTATAAATATAACTAAGGTTTCAATCCTGTAAAACACATGCGCTTTCATATCAATGGGACTACTTACAGGTGTAAAGTTAAGCAAAAGGTAAAGCATTAAGCAGTATCACGAGCAAATGAGTCTACAAGATTTTGATTTATACTGGGGGGGAAAAAATAAGGCTAAAAACAAAAAATGATTTTTAAAATGTACTTTGATATAGAGCTAATGAAATGCCCCTCATCTGAAGTCCATGCTTTTCATATAAAAATTATTTAAGACACTCTTCAAAAACACTTAGAAATAAAAGATCCAGCTAATGCCTTCAGTTTACTCAAATTTTACTATGAACAAATGGATAAAATTTTAAAGCTCAGACAAAAGACTAAAGAGAAATGCTAAGAGCCACAACACCACATGGGTAAACTTTTACAAATATTGGGCTCAATGCACACTTGAAGGAATGGGGTTAAGTAGGGCACGGACCTCACTTCCCATGCCAACAAAGAGGCCCGCTGCACACAAGGGGGATTCACTCATATTATAGGGTAGCAAACACCACCATCATCCTCCTAGGGATCCACAACGGAAGGGCAATTTTAGTATGGTGATGTGTTAAATAGGAGATCTGTTGGTGGAGGTTGCTTAGAAATAAGCTGAATCAGCACATTATCTAGTAACCCTGGCTGTACCCCTTCTAATGGAAGTACTGTCTACTTTCAGACTGCACTGGCCAGCAGTTATGTGAGCCTTGCAATACTAGAGGCCATTTTTGGGTAGACTTTCTGCCACCTTGAGCCAAGATCGCTGCCAGATTTAATGTCGTTTATGATGCTAAAGTGAATGAGGCCACAACAGGTGCTTCTGTTTCACTTAGGCAGAACTCCTGTTGATTTAATAGGTACTTAAAATCAGGCCCATAGTTGGAAAGTACATTGTTACGAGTTTTATAAGTTATAGCTATACAGTTTTTCCTATCAGACTATGCCAAGGGACGGAGCTTAAGTCTTTCTAACTTGCCAATACATCCTGTAATAATGTGCATTGGATCTTTGATAATATACATTTCTTCCACATTGAATTCTGATGTTACAAAATCACTGAATGAGGTAGTAAAACTTACTCGCTATTTAGAAAGGAGAGAGCTTCTGATTATATACAAATGTCCTGGTAATCAGCAGTGACTGAAAGGTAATTTTATCATAGTAAATGTTTTGCCAAAACTGGATTGTTTCTTAAAATATAAGCAGGGGTGGCTCTTCAAGCTTTTTCACAGACAAGAGGTTTAAACAAACAAAAAGACAGTGTTCTAGGAATGCCTGAAAACCTATTAATATAATTAATTTACATAAATTCACAACTTTAGAGTGTGTTACAAGTGTAGAAATAATCAGCTGATGCATGCACCCATCTCTAGTCTGAATATTATCTGCTCCAATAAATTGAGTCTTTCACATGCCAGATATTTTGGAGGCAATGCTGTTTCTCCAAAACAAAAGTAACATGAAAACTAAAACGGCCTCATAATATTTTTGCAGTGAAAAATAATATGGATGAAACAAACTACGCACGGAAAAAATACATTCAAAAGTAATTCCAGAATCAAGAACAATGCACATAAGTAGGTAAAGTACGTGTGTGGTTTTTTTTTATTTTATTTTTTTTAATGTAGTAGAAACTCAAATACGTGAGGCAGTATATGATATCCTCTTTACAAGCATGTATCTCAAACTGGGACATTAGGAGATCTTTTAAAAACAGAGACTGTAACTTATTGAAACTCATATAGCAACATTATACACATCAATCTTGATTATTTAGAAGGGATGGACTTTTTAAAGCAAAATGTTTATCATTTTACTATTCTTATTCCAAAATGCTCTACAAGTCTAACGTATTTCAATTGCGCTTAAAAAGGTACTTATTTCCTACCCAAATGTCCTTATTTATAGCTTTCAAATGTCAGCAGGTATGAATAAAATCCTTCATTGCCACAGGGAAATTCTAAACACTGCTTTTGAAATTCATCCCTAATGAAGGATCCTCCCTCTCTGCAGAAGGCAGAAACTTGACATGTCTGACTACCTTTCTTTTTTAAAAAAAAAAAATTACCACTGTCAATACCCCATCTCCCTGGTGATTATAAAGGAAGAAGAGGAGAAAGCCACCTTCTCTGTTATGCTATCTTGTGAGAGCAAGCCGTTCGGAAAAGCACAGGCACTAGCTTAGTCATCGCATCCTTCCTCCCCCCCTACACACACCCCATCCTCCGGGATTCACACTGGGGCAGGAGAATTGCAGCACTAGCACCCCGCACGAGTCGGTAGGCGCGACACGTTAGACAAAAATAGGTGTTGGTGTCTGGGTCTAAGGCGGGGGCCGGGGTGGATTAAAGTGAATGCGGGACTAGGAGCCACTGACACCCCCGACTGGGGACCCCTATGACACGGCGATTCCTGCTCAACCGCGGGCCGCAGCGCCCGGACCCCCCTTCTTACCTTCCGCCACGTCCTCGTCGATAGCCCCCTTCACCTGGGAGAAGCACCACTGGAAGTCGTTACCACCTCCTCCTCCGCCACCTCCTGCCACCCCTGCGGAGACAGAGCGCGGTGAGAGCGAGCGGCGCGGGCAACCCCAACCCGGCCGAGGGCACCTGACCCCTAACCCGGCCCCAGCTCCGCCCACCAACCCTGGCCAGGCTCCTCAGTACCCGGCCCGGCTCATCCCAAACCCAGCCCAGCTCCGTGCTGGCCGGCCCGGCTCGGCTCAACCCCCACCCAGCACCGGCTCGGCCCTGCCCCTCTACCCAAGGCCCACACGCGGTCCGGCTCGGCCTAGCCCCGAACAACCCAGCCAGCCCCACCGAGCCAGCTCGGCCTCCCATGCCCCGGATCCGCGCTGCCTGCCCAGGCCTGACTCGCTGCCCGCCCCTGTTCGGAAGGCAGAGCGCCCTCCACCCGGCCCCTACCCTAGGCCAGGCCCAGGCCTCCCCAGCTGACGGCCGCGGCGCTGCGTGCGTCTCGCTCACCTGCCATGTCGCGCAGTGTGTGTGAGGCGGGGGGCTGCGGGGCCCACGAGGGGGAGGCGCCGGCCGGGACCGGGTCAGAGCCGCCGCCGCCGCCGCACACAGCTGCAGCCGCTGGAGGTTTTGGGGTTTCAAAATGGCGCCCATTGCCGGTCGGCCTGATCCGGTGACGTCATCCGTCTGCCTCCCTCCGGGAGGGGGAGCTGGGAGCGCCGGGCGGTGCAGGAAGCAGCCGGAGCCGGAGCCGGGCCCGAGCTGTGACGGCGGGGGATACACGGGGGAGGAGGATCTGGTGAGGGCGTGGTGGGACCTAGGCTGGCTGAAGGGGGTGGCCTGTTGGCACCCAGGGACACAGCTTGAGGAGAGGCAAGTATCAGGGTGTAGCGTGTTAGTCTGTAGCTACAAAAACCACAAGGAGTCCGGTGGCACCTTAAAGACTAACAGATTTATTTGGGTATAAGCTTTTGTGGGTAGAAACCTCACTTCTTCGGGCAGTTTATCCAACTTGAGCTGTAACCGCTCGCCAAATAGAAACCTGCTTAGCTGGGACTGGGGGATCCTGCACCAGGAGGGGGACAGGCTGGAGTGGGGTGGCAACTAGGGTATCACCCAGGGCTTAATTTGTGCCCGTTCTGAGCCCTGACATCTTGGGGCTTGGCAGTTCTGAGCCCCGGCACCTCTGCACTTGCTGTGTCAGGTATGAAACTACAGATGTTGCTTGAGCCCCGTACCTCTTTCATTACCAATTAAGCACTGCTAATGCCAGGCTGGCGGGAAACGCTCCCTTCAGGCTGAGACCAAATGGGCAGAGAGGTGGTATAAGGCAGAGGTGACGTGTAGGGGAGCATGAGGGGTCCAGTGTCCTCCTAGATTGGCCTGCTGGGGGGAGGGAGGGGGTCTGTCCTTTCGCTGTGCCTGCCCCCCAAGCACGCTTGGCCCCTGTCCCTGGCAGCCAGGTCCGAGCAGGGAGTGGAAGGGTTGGGACCAGTAGCTTCTCATGCCAGCCATGCTGGGTCACTGCTCTGTGCAGCGTAGCAGCTGCCTGAGAGAGTCTGGCTGGGGAAGCCGTGGTGGGCTACCCCCTGCCTGGGCCTGGCTGCTGGGGACAGAGGCCGAGCAAGCTGGAGCCCCCTCTTCTCCAGGCATGTTTCTGGCTTGCTCGGCCCCTGTCCACGGCAGCTGGGCCTGGGTCGGGGGTGGCCCACTGCTGCCCCAGCCAGGCTCCCTCAGGCAGCTGCTGCACAGAGCAGCAACCTCGAGTGGCCAGCTTGAGCCGCATGAGAAGTGCAGGGAGAGCGGCCAAACATGGTGGGGATGGTGGGGGGACACAGTGGGAGATGGACAGAGCCCACTCCGGCAGTAACTCTGGTTGGGTGGGGTGAGCCCTGGGCTGGGTGCAGGGCAGGGGTGAGTCACTGGGCAGAGGAGTCACGTGTCCTCCCCTTTAGATTGTGGGTCCCCCCTCTAATATGGGGAGACACGGATCATCTCTGGTACAAGGCAGCGAGAGAGGAGCAGGTGGGGTGAAAGGGCTGAAGTGTCACTATTGCCATGTTTAAACACAACGCTAGCTAACCTTGTTTCTATCTCAGTTTGGCTGGTCGGTGCAGCTAATGTTGGATAAACTGTAATGAAGGCCAAAATCAGAGGCAATAGAGACACCAATTTGGTATGCAGGTCCTGTTGGGATCCTGGAAGTGGGCGAGCAGAAGCCTGGTATGCAGGTGAGAGGTAAAAGGATTGGACCTGGGAAGGTTAGGCAAACATCATCTCCACACATCTGGGCACTCAGAGACAGCAGTGACAAGATTGAGCCCTGGTGGTTGCACAGCTGAGAGCAGTTGCTTAGCATTATCCTGTCAGATCAATCAGGACAGAGAAAGTAGATCTATACTGGTGTTTCCATTCTCCATGTCAGTTTATGCAGTCATTTCAGCAACACCATAATCAACAGGCCACAAAAAGAGGTAACACTGTCAGGAAGATACCTGGCTTCTGAGTGTATTTTTAAACAGAGTTCCATTTAGTCCACTGTCATCTGTAACCTATAATTTAAATCAGCTTCTGTACCAAATGACTTGAGGATAGCTAATGTGACGCCAATTTTTAAAAAGGGCTCCAGAGGTTGCCCTGGTAACTACAGGCCAGTAAGCCTCATTTCAGTACTGGGCAAATTGGTTGAAACTATCGTAAAGAACAAAAGTGTCAGACACACAGACGAACATAATTTGTTGGGAAATAGTCAACATTGTTTTTGTAAAGGGAAATCATGCGTCACCAATCTACTAGAATTCTTTGAGGGGGTCAACAAGCATGCGGACAAAGGAGATCCAGTGCATATAGTGTATTTAGATTTTCAGAAAGCCTTTGACAGGGTGCCTCACCAAAGGCTCTTAAGCAAAATAAACAGTCATGGGATAAGAGGGAAGGTTCTCTCATGGATTGATAACTGGTTAAAAGATAGGAAACAAAGGGTAGAAATAAATGGTCAGTTTTCAGAATGGAGAGAGGTAAATAGTGGTGTCCCCCAGGGATCTGTACTGGGCCCAGTCCTATTTAACATATTCATAAACAATCTGGAAAATGGGGTAAACAGTGAGGTGGCAAAATTTGCAGATGATACAAAACTACTCAAGATAGTTAAGTCCCAGGCAGACTGTGAAGAGCTACAAAAGGATCTCACAAAACTGGGTGACTGGGCAACAAAATGGTAGATGAAATTTCATGTTGATAAATGCAAAGTAATGCACATTGGAAAACATAATCCTAACTATACATATACAATGATGGGGTCTAAATTAGCTGTTACCACTCAAGGAAGAGATCTTGGAGTCATTGTGGATAGTTCTCTGAAATCATCCACTCAATGTGCAGCGGCAGTCAAAAAAGTGAACAGAATGTGGGGAATCATCAAGAAAGGGATAGCTAATAAGACAGAAAATATCTTATTGCATCTATATAAATCCATGGTACGCCCACACCTTGAATATGCGTGCAGATGTGGTCGCCCCATCTCAAAAAAGATATATTGGAATTGGAAAAGGTTCAGAAAAGGGCAACAAAAATGATTAGGGGTATAGAATGGCTTCTGTATGAAGAGAGAGTAATAAGACTGGGACTTTTCAGCATGGAAAAGAGGTGACTAAGGGGGGATATGATAGAAGTCTATAAAATCATGAGTGGCATAGAGAAAGTAAATAAGGAAGTGTTATTTACTCCTCCTCATAATACAAGAACAAGGGCCCACCAAATGAAATTAATAGGTAGCAGGTTTAAAACAAACACAAGAAAGTCATTTTTCACGCAACACACTGTCAACCTCTGGAACTCCTTGAAGAGGGTGTTGTGAAGGCCAATAATATAACGGGGCTCAAAAGGGAGCTAGATAGATTCATGGAAGATAGGTCCATCAATGGCTATTAGGTAGGATGGGCAGGAATGGTGTCCCTAGCCTCTGTTTGCCAGAATCTGGGATTGGGTGACAGGGCATGGATCACTTGATGATAACCTGTCTGTTCATTCCCTTTGGGGCACCTGCCATTGGCCACTGTCAGAGGACAGGATACTGGGCTTGATGGACCTTTGGTCTGACCCAGTATGGCTGTTCTTAGTATGCGGGACATATTTTTGCTTTTAAATCCCCCATTAATGGTAGGCTCCTCTTTATTTTTTTTTATTTTATTTTTTTGCTCCTCTTTCTTTAGTCCTCTGTTCGGAATCCTTCACGCTCTGAGCTAATAGCATTGACGTATTACCAAGTTTTAACATTATCTTTATTCCTTACCCTTACACTGTTTGTTTTCTTTAAACAGCCATATGTCTTTATAGTTTTAAGGATCTGATTTAAATCCAAAATAGCAAGGAGAATTCAGAGTTGATTTACCATTCCTTGTTAAACCATGCCATTCTGGTATGGAACTAAATAGTATTATAGAAATGTAGGAGTCGAAGGGACCTCGAGAAGTCATCAAGTCTAGCCCCCTGCTCTGTGGCAGGACCAAATAAACCTAGACTATCCCTGACTGTTGTTTGTCCAATCTGTTCTTAAAAATCTCCAATGCTAGGAGTACTGCTCACATTTCCTACTTGGAACAAGGTTCCCTTTCACATACAACAGTATTTTGTCCATCTTTCTTCCCAAGTGATTTTTTTTCCTCTTAATAAATGCTCACAAAATACATTTTGTGAGCATTAAAAAAAAATACATTTTTGAAGTCCTTTATTTATGTGCAGGGACATTATAGACAATGGCATCTGCAAACTTCTGTCTGCTGCCCTGCCAGTGTACATCAACCATGATCTATTTTAGAGAGACCAGTCTTAGAACAGTTTAGTCTCTGTGTGCATTCAAAACCTCGGCCTATGAAAAGTGCACTAATAACGTGTAATTTTTTCCTAGCTAATGCCTTGCACAGCTAATCTATAGTGTGAGTCACCAAGAAGTTTAATTTATACAACTTTATACACAGATGGTACTTTCATGGAAAAATGCCCTGAATCTTTCATTTTAAAAAGGAAAATGGTGTCAGTGTATATTAGAATCCCTTAAAAATCCTTTAGGCCTTAATTAATTAAATGCAGCATACCACTGAAGTTGCATGTTATTCATTAATGCCAATTGGATTTCCTATTTTAAAATGTTCTTTTTTTAAAAAAAAACTTCACCCTGGAATGATACAACATGAAATAATAATATGGACCCCAATCTTGAAAGCTAATCCACGCAGGTGCTACTGTGGGCTCCACATGAGCGCAGGAGTCCACCCAGGCATATCATCCTGCAGGATGTGGGCCACAGATGTATCTTCTAGAGGCCCAAATCTCCATTTAATTCTGACAAAGTCATATTGACATTATAAATGTGGGACTAATGTAATTTCATTCATGTTAATAGGAATAACATGTTTTTAAACTAGTATAAAACCAGTGAATACTTCTTAGGAGTAATAGACTGGGTTACAGACCACATTTTATTTATTGCTTCTCCCCTAGTCTCATTTATCTAGTTTTCCTGTAGACTGGTTTGTTTGATTAAATATACAATGAAAAAGAAGACACCTGTGTTATGAAAGAGCCCTTGCAGCACCATTGTTAAAGTTGCTTTCTGTTTTGCACTTAAAGTGAGAGTTTAACCT